TTCGCGGGGTCAGTGTCACGGGCCGTGCAGGGGCTGGCAAGGGTGTAGACCCGACATCAGATCCGGTCAGCGGCACTGATGATGAAAAAGACTCCACAGGCACAACGCAGAGCAGCGTAGGTCAGGAGGACTCCGGTGGAATCATCCCGATTTCGGGACTATTTAGCACAAACTTACAAATATTTCAAAATCACTTAAAAAATGAATATATTGCTGCGCGTAAAGTCATTTATATACTATTTCACTACTATGAGCAGCGCTGCGCTCCCATGTCTGCCTACCTCTATAGTACAATTGTTACCAAGTGTACGAAAGTCACTATTATATGTGCCTCATTTCAGAATAAAATATTACACGACTATATACTTTCATTCAATTTTCTTGTTTCAAATTGCTGGCATTAAGTAAATAATAATATATATAATCAATTGACATAATTAACATTAATATGGACTTAAGAAACATTTTTCACTGAAATAATCTAGTGTGAGTTCATCTTTATTTACCTACAACTACAGATAGCTGTAGGATAACGAATATAGTCGCTAAAGCAACTCGATAAGGTGCGAATCTATTTAAGTGCACTTCTGTTTTATAAACACTAAGGTTTTATGTACACTTCGACATCGTATCGAGTAATGATGCATAAATTACTATTTATCACCTATCTTGTAATGATGCATTTCATTTGAACCCTATTATTCGACTTACGAATATCTATTTACATTTCTTTATCGTTTTCAGTTAAGGTATCTTCTTTTATTCTTCTAGTTTTTCTTATCTTCTTCTAGTTAATTTAATTTAGTTTTAGTATTTATTCAGAAAACATGTATAAAACTTCGTAGAATATCTACATTTTATTTTGCGGACTGCGCAGTCAAATCATCATAATCGACAATGATTTATCAATCCATCAAATAAAAAAAACAAAAATTAGCGCCAATAACAGACCGCTAACTAAACATTGGCAACGGCAGTAAAAGTAATGGATAAAACTCCATAATTATTATATACTGTGAAAAACGGATTATAGAAATTATAATAGATGTGTCGATTGAAGTCTCTGTAATGGCACCCTCTTGTTTTAAAACAATACAACAATATATAAATAAGTTATCAGTCTGTAGCATACTGTTTGAATAAAATAAAGAAACGAGATTCTTCTGTTATTTCAATATCATGATTCAATTGCTGCTGGGACGCAGGCCTTCTCTGTGGAAGGAATCGAATTAAATCGACTAGAGAAAATGGGCCGTGACCTTCCAGAGCTATAAATTTTTGATCACCCATCCGACCATTGCGAAAGTTGCTTAACAACCGTATTACAGACCAAGCGCGCTAACCGCGCCATCGAACTCCATTTATTCAATACTACAACCGGAATGACAGATGAAATACAGATTTTCATCGAGTAAAAAATCGCATCCTGCAACTAAAACTCTATATATATAATTTGAATTGTAAATCAGACTACACTAAATGCATCACATTCCTTTATCCGAACGTTTAACTAAACAACTTGATTCAAATTATACACATCACTGTGACTAGACATTTATGAATTAATTATTGGTTCCGCTTGATTTAAACTTATGCAGAGATAATTTATTCATGAAACCAATACAGTAAATTTGTTCCGATCGATTAGTCTGCCCGTCTGCGCTAATAATGCTATAATTATTGTTTCTTTTTTTTATAAAAATAGTCCTCATAACACAGCCCACGGTTATTACACGCCATAATAACAAAAAATTAAGTTAATTCTTAAAAGTATATTTGAAGTTCTATTTGGCACAATACGTGTAACTACATACTTTTATTAAAATAAAAGTAATTTATGTAGAATATACAATCAATAAAATTATCTCGAGTAGCTCGGTGGCGTAGTGGATAAGCGCCGCGGCCCGCGATCGTAGTCGTTAAGCAACTTTCGCAAGGGTCGGTCACGGGATGGGTGACCAAAAAATTATTATCTCGAGCTACTCCGTGCTTCGGAAGGCACGTTAAGCCGTTGGTCTCGGCTGCATTTGCAGTCGTTAATACCCTCCAATCCGCATTGGGCCAGCGTGGAGGGTCGTGGCCCATCCTCCTTAACCATCCATATGGAAGGCCTGAGTCCCTGCAGAGGGGACGCAAAAGGGCTGGTGATGATGAAATATATAAAAGCTAACACGCCTTACACAGTGGGTAAATATCCGCAAGACTGTAATAGAGATAACAACTGGGTAAAAAAAAAAAAACTATTTAGTCCGTCCGTCAGATATTAGAAAGAAATTAGATACGTTTTTTTTTTTTTGTTTCAATTAAAATAAGAAATAGCTTAGATAATTGGCATTAAAGTTGATGAGTGCTCGTTACGTCACAGTTTTGTAGAAAATGTACAAAATGCGTGACGTCTTGCGAGATTTCATCTTAATAAATCGCCGTAATTTAAAAATAAAAAAATACGTATTTATTTATTTTTTAGATAACCCGGAACAACATGATAGGGTTGGCGCAAATACAAGACAGAGACCATCTTACCCTATACTATTAAAATTCGACAATAATATTCTCTAGGTAACGTATTACTAAATTCCGTATAGTATAGGTTTTAATAATGCAGTGAGAGATGTAATTTAATATAAATTGATTAATAATAATGATAACTAAAACTTTGGGTAATATAATTTTATTAATGTATTCAATGATGTCCAAAGAATTACAATGATATAATATGTATTCTGATTGTATTGTTGAATGGAAATTGTATGTATTAAACAATTTGATGCTAAAGTTATATCATATTATGTGAGCCCCACCGATCTCACACTCTATACAAGAGATAGTATTAAGCGATCGTGAAACATACATGAAAAATTACAATATAATATTTACAATATAAAATTACAATTTAATATAATACAATCAAACAAAAAGAAGAATGTTATAGTAATAGTTATAAATAAATAAAAGAAAGACAAGGGTAAAAAGAAAAGTACCCACAGACTAAGGTGATTAACACCTAAGATTTAGAAAAAAATAGAAAAGAAATAAAAAAGACAAATAACGGCCTGATTCAGATCGGGGGGTCAAGAAAAAAAATCCGTATAGTATGACAGAATATGAGTTCACGACAAATCGAAATTTGTTTTTAGAATACGCCTTTGATAGACATGAGAGAAATTTCGACCTAAAAACATGATAAAACATTTCTTACTGCAGTTCTACTTATTGACCGGTTTGTGACAGCAATAATGCATTAAAGTAATGTTGTTAAAACGTCTGAAATACAAAATTTTACGGGAAATTAATTAAATTCGAAACACAAATTACTTTAGAATGACATAAAAATATATTTTTTAAGATATTTTCCTATACTATTTGGAAAAGCAACAGAAATAATCCCAAAACCAACGTTACCACTAATTAGTGTCAGGTTTCCTTTAAAACATTTGATCTCATAAAGATAATTCGAACGGTTGTTTTAATCATAATCGGGCGTTAATTAAAGTCAGTTTACAAATAATTAATGCCCACGGAAGCGGCTATTTACGCTTACAAGTATTTTGACTTTGGGCTAGTTTCGGCAGGTGTGTAAACATACATTATACATTAAAGAGATTGAGTTGATACAAATCTATGATACGCCTACATGGCCTCTCTTAGATAGATCCTTTTAAGATAAGGTTTTAAAATATAATAGAGAGTACTACAGTGGACTATAGTCGTATGTACTATTTAATTTAAAAAAAAAGAGCTTAATACAGGGTTCATTTACACCGCAGGATCTGAATGAAACTTAGCGTCCAAAGCAAATCATTTGATTTTGGCACCCTAAGCAAAACATTCCTAGGACGCCCTAAAAAAAATAACTACAAAATAAAAGGCTAATGTAAGTACGCGCACCAAAATAAGAGTGTAATCTTGCCAATATATAATCTTGCCTTGTAAAAGGAACTCCTTATGTACTTCCGTTTGATTTTTTTTATTTTTGAATACCACGGGCATGTACTCATATACAAAGAATACAAGGTTCAAATATGAACTTAGAACAATCATAATCTGTTGCCATGTCATACCACCCGCCAAGTACGAGCGCCCTAGGCACTCGTACTTGGCGGTTGGTATGACATGGCTAGTTTGGTATGACATGGCTAGTTGCCTAGTTTGCATATATGGACAGGCCGGCCCTGTCCATTTATATATAAAAAAGACAAGTAAATAAAATGAGAGACTTATTGAGTGATGAATGATATTGAAAAGGTGATGTGTACTCAGCTCCCGCTGGGGATACAGCGCGAAGATATAGACAGATAGAATTTGATCTGTTTGTATTAGCACAATAACATAAACTCGTCTTTAAACTGTTGAAAATACTGTTTTTCTGGAATTTTCTGGAGATATTTCATTATTTGATCTATTAAGTCAGCTTACTTAGTTTTTGGGTTTTATTTTCGTCACAGTCATCTTTCAAATAACCAATAAAAACTAATCACACTGGTTGAGATCTAGAAAAAAGAGAGGTCAGTCCTCAGCCTGAGTTGTTCTTTTTGATTCTAAGATAAAAAAAAATAAAATACCATGTTTATCATCTATTTAAATATGTTTATTATCTTATCATTATAATCAAAGTAGTGTTGTACTGAAACTCTTCATTTAATAATCAATAATATTGAAAACTAAGTATGTCGGTTTCAATTCATTGTAGGTATATTGTTTATATAACACAGTTTATATAATGCAATAATTCAAATCCTTAGCTCTACCGCCCGAAGGCGGCGATTAACAATGTTTTTTAGTTAAACTAAAAGAATATTATCAAGATAAATATGCCCTAAAAGTTGTCATATGGCATATGGCATAGAAGTAAAGGTAAATGTCTTTACGTTCTTTCGTTTGTTTCACAATAGATATTTTAGATAACAGTGACAGTTCCATCTATAGCCCCTTTATATTACCAATAATATTGCACAGTTGAAATTATTTTTATTTGTTTACTAGAGTTATTAGGTACTGACCTGGAAGAGTAAGTATCCAGAGTCGTACATCCAGAAGTCATCTGGGGCGTTGCCGGGCTTGGTGAGGTGTATCGCGAGGCAACGCTGCAAGATCAGCTGGCAGCGCTGCCCCCCCGCGCCGCGGACGCTCATGCCTACAGAGGCGGCGGCATGTTCTATGAAACAAAAAATAAACATAAATTATTATATTTCATCAATTTTGCAATTACAATTATATACTGAAAAAAAAACTTGATGAAAACCACAGTCAAACCACAGACCCAGTTAATTGTAAGTGGATATTTTAAATATTTTTTATGAAGAATATAAACACAAATATTATAGACCTAACCTAACCTTTATACCGAAGGAAACTGAGCCTTAGCGTTTCATCAAACTGGACGAGAGGCCGACGGTCCAGTGCAATTAACCTACCCTGCGTACTACACTCTTGCGTAGTCCGGTTCCCGGTAACTGGCAAGCAGAGATGTGACTTATCTTAGATACAAGTATTTGAAATACAGATACAAGATACAAAATACGTATTTTCATCTTGTATCTAAAATACTTTTTTTAGGAAGTATTTTGTATCTTGTATTTAAATACTTTTGTTTAGTATCTTAGTATCTTTTAAATACTTTTTCTGATAAAATACTTTCTTTATTAAAAGATTATTTCTTACATTTTATAAATATCACAAAACATTCTTTGCCTAAAACATACATATTTACAAAAAGAAAGTGTTCAATTATCAACGCAATGAATATTTAGTTAAAAATAACTCGAATCCAAACATTGTTTGGTGTCATTTAACGCACACCCGTTATTGGTTTGCCCGTTATTGGTTTACGAAAAGGTTGCTGTTTGGTGGTCTAACGCGGATGTATTTCATCACAGCTTCTTACCAAACAGGACGAGCATTACTGCAGATTTACTGTGTGTATTATGAAGAACTGAACACAATGACGGAGAAGCTGGCACAACTCCAACCAGGTTTTGTCAATCGTTCGGTTCCACTGCTCCTGCACGACCACGTACGACCTCATACTACACAATTGGCGGTACCCAAGCTACAAGAGCTGGGGTTTGAAGTTCTCCGTCATCCGCCGTACTTAACAGACCATGCGCCTACAGACTTCTAATTCTTCCAGAATTTGGATAACGTCTTAGCGGGAAAAAAATAAATTCCCGAGAGGCAGTACAAAATGCCTTTGAAGTATTTGTTGCCTCCCGTCCAGCTGGTTTCTTCAAGAAGGCATCATTAAGCTACCGATGCGTTGGCAAAGATGTATTGATTGCATGGGTGATTACTTTGATTAATAGAAATAAGAAAATAAAGCTTCATTTATTTTATTAAAAACGGAAAGTTCATAGATAAAGACTTAATTAATACTTCAAATCCGGTTGAGACCGGATTTATCCGATCAGATGGTAACTAATGGCGCATTACCAACAGTACCAGCAATACCAACTCTACGTCTTTTTAAGGTATATCTACGTATTATAAGCCTTTCCTACAAACCAACGTACTATAATCAACCACAGAAGCTAAGTATTTTCTCCTAAAAATTTTCAAATTAGCTTAACACACTAAAGGGGCATAATTTTCGGTAGTTCTGCAAAAAAAGTTAATATACGTTCCGTTACATACTATCGCACATTCACCTTGTGACAAGTCACGCCATTAATTTTAAAAACCATTAAATATTGTGATGATGTATTAAATATTTGCATTTTTATATGTTACATTGTGATTGACAAACAAATAAAACGGAGGAAAAGTGGGTGAAATTTAGCTTGTAAGATTTGAGTACAAACACAGAAAACTAAATAAAAGCTTACAACATTGTTTCTAATGAAAAATGCTTAAAAAATCCACTTTGTCCCTGGAACCATCTGGTCTAAGATTTAGGTTTTTGTGGTCTTTAATAAACAAACTTAAATTCAAATCTTTTTTTAGAAAAGTATTTGTATTTATAAAAAGTATCTATAAGATACCTATTTTGTATCTAGTATTTCAAATACTTTTTTCGAAAGTATTTCGTATCTGGTATCTGAAATACTTAATTTAAAAGTATTTTGTATCTTGTATTCCAGATACTTTGTACAGGGTATTTTGTACATCTCTGCTGGCAAGGGATCCCGGGTAGATCTGAACAGTTCACCTAACCTTATCTAACCTTACTAACAAACCTACTGACAAACGCGTAGTCAGTCAACTGTTATTTTACAAAATTCGTATGAATTAAATAATTATGTACGAACTTGTAATTAGAACAAGAGAAGCGTCTATTTTATCAGTGAGTATATTTCAACAAAATTTGTTTAAAATTTTTTGACTGCAAAGGCAATAAATAAATCTTTGAACGTGTAATATTTTAATAAGACGTGATTGGATTTTCAGAGTACCTACGACTATATGCATAAAACGATTTACTTTTACTTATAGTTAGTAAGTAAGTTACCTATATTATTTTTTTATAATTGGCATAAAAAATATTTAATTTAAAATCTTACTACATTACAAGCTGCTTTGCCGCAATGGCTTATACTTTCTAGATATGCAAAACAGTTTTTACCACGATTCAAAATTTTCAAAGAATGCATTCTCAAAAAATCGAGTCCATAAGCTCCATTGTTCTTTAATTGTTCCCACCTGTCGGAATGCGAACCACTGTGCGACTTTAGAAGAACCGCGGAAATCCGTCCTCATTATTAAAATAAGTGAAAAAAAAAAAACAAAAACTTGTCTAATTAAACAATGGCGTGAAGAATCGAAGCAAAGAGGACAAAATACCGTAAAAAAACCCTTGACATGACAGTTTTAGAACAAGGTTATATACTACATGTTAAAGGATTTGTTATTTGGAAAAGCAATTAGTATAATCGTAGTTAAGGCCTTTATGTAACTAGTACAAATGCTAATAGTGTGCCCTTCAGCAAGTCATAGCAAATGAAACCTTATTAAATTACTTCGTTATATAATCAAAGTTAAATAAGAATTGAGTAGCTCGGTGGCGTAGTGGACAAGCGCCGCGGCCCGCGATCGTTGTCGTTAAGCAACTTTCGCAGAGGTCGGTCACGGGATGGGTGACCAAAAAATTATTATCTCGAGCTACTCCGTGCTTCGGAAGGCACGTTAAGCCGTTGGTCCCGGCTGCATTTACAATCGTTAATACCCTCCAATCCGCATTGGGCCAGCGTGGAGGGTCATTGCCCATCCTCCTTAACCATCCTTTAGGAAGGCCTGAGCCCCTGCAATGGGGACGTAAAAGGGCTGATGATGATGATGATAATCAAAATTAGAAGCAAGTTATCAAAGAGCACAGTATTTTTATAAAATGCCGACAAAAAAAATTATAACCTGTAGTTTCCAATATTGTCTATTGTAAATCTTTACGGAATCGTCTACTATCGGGCACCTATCATTTAATTAATAAACCTACAGAAAACCGCGACTCGGTTCTTTTTTTACTAAAAGTATGTAGTAAAAAAAAACTTGAATTTATTTTGGAATCATATAATTTATCATGTAAAAACCGATCTTGTCATTAAATTACTAAATTTCATTAAGTTTGTGTACCGAACAAACTAATACAACATTACGAAAATAGTATAAATAACTGTTTTTGAGTACATATTATCAGTCCTAAGCCTAAATAAAGTATGAAGGAGAATTCGGTTTTAAGTATATTTGGAAAATTCTCAATAAAAAAATAAAAAGTGTTATTATGTTTTAGCTTGGTACGAGAATAATTCTATTTAAAAAAAATCATTCCATAACAAAGGTCAATGAAAAGCATTAGATAATTTTTAAATAACACGATTAAATACTTACTTTCTGCTCTTGAATCTATCTATCTATAAATCAATGAACCAAATGAAGCATTCATTGATTCGAATCTAAGCACTGATTCAAATGCAAATGATCCAGTCTTTAGATAAATAACGTTTTTCGCTGTACTAGTCTAAATTTTAATTCTAATTGTTTATTTCTTTTTTCCAGGCTCCTTTACGCATTTTCTTATTTTATGGAAGGCCTAACGACATCAATTATAACTTCAATTTCAAAAGATTAAGTCTTAGAGTCGATCGAAGTGTCCTTTTGTGGTAATCTAACATCACTACAATCATAAATCATTCATTATCCTAAATAACACGTTAAGCTTACGGAAACCAAGCAATTACATCGATTGATAAATCTTTTGAAATTCCAAGTGACTTAAAAGCAATTTCTATAATAGGAAACCTTTAAGTCAACACGTATCAATGTAATTTGCATTCCGGTTAAGCATTATGTTGTGCCAGTAAGCTCGCTTTTCGCTTATCGGTATTTCAAAATGCTACTCAGTTACGTTGGTACTGTGACAAACATGATAGCTTCAGAAAGTTGTATGGTGCCTACCATCAGCCGCGGAAGCTTAGTAGCTAGCACCAGTAATATTTGATTTCGCATTGTAGAGGTATAATAATTTTTTGGATACCTATTTAATAATAATATATCTTATTAATATTTTATCAACATTCATAATCTATTTCACTTACATAGTATTACCAATATTGACAATTATTATCTATACTTATATTATAAATATTAAAAGTCAAATATTAAAACCTACGAAAAGTCAAACCAGGAAAGGTTTGGACCTAAATACAATAGTTTAGAGTATATATTTCAGGTAATTATTTCGTGTACTAGGTAATTAGTTACTTTTAGTGGTTAAAACATTTAATTTGTTATAAAACTGATGACCAAAAATATAAAGAACTTCTTTGATAAAAAGGAAATGCAAATAAACGGCTCGTTAAATTTGTGGTCCTTACTCTCAATGATATTCGAACTTTTTAAATCGATCATCATACAAACTTACTTGTACATGAAGATTACAATTATATGAGCAGCTTCATCCTCTCTTCCTTTGTAAACTCATAACGAGAGTGTCTGCCAACAGTGGCGACATAAGAGACTAATGACGGTAACTATTATTGTATCTTTCTCTAACCTGGCACGCTGTAACTCAATAAGATATAGAATTCCCGAAGTAAGTGTCTATACAAACAACAAATGGACAATGATATACCAAAATTCTAATTTGTGCTAGATTTATAAATACAAAGGCAAGGAAACTTTTGTTTTATATTATGCTACAATGATTTGCAATCTTTATTATTTATT